AGACGGAATTCAACGATGACCGCTGCGAGTTGACCTCCGCGAGGACCACAGAGCCTCATCGTAAACTTGCGCCCTCGAGCGTCGCTCGTGCGTCTCTTCACCGAGGTACCCTCTCTTGATCATCCATGATATTCTTCGTATCGTCAAGAATGAAATGAGAAGAATGATGATTAGTCCAAAAGTAGCGACGATAGATCATGATGACACGTCGATAATGTTACAACAACCAGGTTGAAGGCTACATCGGAGTCGGTTGACGGGAGCCCTGCTATCAAGACCAACTGCACTTACCGGTGTATTCAACAACGGACGATATCCAATTGAATATATGCGTCGTGCCTACAACCAACCTTCACTAGCTAACACGCGATGACGAACCCGTCGAGTAGTAAACATATCCGGCGCGAAAGGTATGGCCACAAGCGAAATCGCGAGAATTGATGATGTTTTGCAGGGAGGTGTGCATCGGCTTTGAGCTGTTTAAATCTGGTTTAGAGCAATCAGCAGTGATAAACCCGTCACTTTGAGGATTGTTGATAATGTAGGCGGCCTGAGAGTCTTCGAGGGAGAAGCAAGCAAGCACATTCAGCACGTAGGCATTGGAGGATCATGGCCTCACCGGTACAGGCCTGGTGGTGTGAGGATAAGACAGGAGCTTTTACGGCAAACTCCGGCCGGGATGAGAATCCCAAAATGGAAAAACCGCGACGTGTAATCCTTTTCTCATCGACCACCATCTTACATATCAAAATGGCTGAGCCAACCAAGCAGGAAACGGAACAAGTGTTTAAGGTGCTGCGTGCACAAAAGGCGAACAAGGTAGGCATAATTTCATTCCTCACTGGCGACTTTTCCTCATCTTAAACAGGTCTGTTTTGACTGCAATGCGCGGAATCCCACCTGGTCGAGCGTAACATTCGGCGTTTACATCTGCTTGGACTGCTCCAGCAATCACAGAAACATGGGCGTGCATATCTCCTTTGTCCGGTGCGCACCTCCTTCGCTGGAATATACCGGCACGGTCTCAAGCGATACAGATCAACCAATCTCGATACATGGCAGCTTTCCCAGCTTCGCAACATGAAGATTGGCGGAAATTTGTCTGCAACCGAGTTCTTTACGAAGCACGGTGGATCATCACTATTGAACGACGCCGACACACGCAAAAAGTACTCGAGTCGCGTCGCTGAATTGTACAAGGAGGAACTAGCGAGACGAGTCAAGGAGGACGCTACAAAGTGTGTATCTAGGTTGGGCGAGCATGCAAATTTCTAAATAAATTGCAGATTCCCTCAAGGCATTGTTGTCGAAGGCGTGGAGGCACCTGCAGCCCCGAAAGAGCAGACTGAGGACGACTTTTTCGAATCATGGTCGAAACCGTCAACGCCAAAGCCGTCCAACCCGGGTACACCGCGTATATCTACACCGCCTATCATTGGCAGGACACCGTCTCCGGCTGCACCGCCTGTCGAGAAGCCTGCTGCTCCACGGACAATATCATCCTCTGCAGCACGTACTACCAAGCTTGGAGCAACCTCCCGTCTTAACTCTGCCTCATCCGTGTCTTCGTCTTCTTCAGCACCAAAGAAGTCGAAGCTGGGTCTTGGTGCGTCCAAGACTAAACCGGTTGATTTCGCCGCCGCAGAAAAAAAGGCGCTTGAGGAGGCAGAGCGGATCAAGCAGCTTGGGTACGACCGGCAGCGCGAGGAAGAAGAGGAGAAAGTGCGGAAGGAGGCTGCCGCCGTGAAAGCTGCTCTGGAGATTGGACCCAAGTCCAACTATGGCTCGTCTACGACAACGACCACTAAGAAGAGCAACCCAGCCGCAGATGCTCAGCGTGCTGCTGCGTTCCCCCGTTTAGGATTTGGTGCCATCCCTGGATCCGGTGCAGCTGCCATGGCCGCTGCTCCTCCGCCAGCTTCCAAGGTGGCTGACGATTCTCCTACCACTGCACGGGACAAGTTTGGCAGTCAGAAAGCCATCTCGTCCGATATGTATTTTGGGCGGAACTCGTATGACCCGAATGCTGTCGCCGAAGCGCAGACGCGTTTGCAGTCGTTCCAAGGGGCGACATCGATTTCCTCGAATGCGTACTTTGGGAGGGAAGAGGAGGAGGCGCTACCGGCGCGCGACGACGATGGACTGGCCGCATTGGAATCGGCTGCTAGGGAAGCGATGCAGCGGTTAATGGCTAATCCTGATGTGCAAAATATCTCTGATAATATCAGAACTGGGGCGTTGAAGGTATGTTCGTTGATACTCGTTTTGGGATGTTGTTTAATACGTGGGACAGCTCTCCGACTATCTCGCCCAAATGTCTGAGCGGTAATGGATTTGGTACAGATTTCTTTAATGTCTATGCATCTTGTTTTTTGGATGGTTCATAATTCTTAATTTAATAGGATAGCCTTCGTGTACACGATGTTGGTTATAGATTCGTCTTCGCTGTGCTATCCTTCCATTGCTGTGAGCAAGACACGGAGTCAACATGTTTATGACTGTGAATGCGAGGCAGGATCCCTCCAGGCTTAGTTAGATTCAGCAAACACTTGCGGGCGCACTCATGCGAAGAAGTAAACAGAAAACGTCTACTTTGTAGGTTCTTCAAGATATCCGATTTTCTTTCTGGGGAGAAGCCGACGTAGGGCCATTTATCTAGTTCATAAGTATGTGGGTGAGCTCGGAGATTCATTCTTGTACACAACTTCATTAATTTGGGTAAGAAGGTTGACACTGCCACAGACGCGACTGATAGCCTCTGATAGCTTTACCGCCGCCCAATCACATTTGACCAGTTCTACCCCTTGCTCAATCAAGTTCGTACGTTTATCGCTACCTGTTCTCACCGGCCCGTCGCCACCTCGCCATCAGGTGGACGTCGTGGAACGTTTCTCCTGAATTTTGAATTAAACGTGGAAGCTAATCAAAATTCAAGAGTGACGGACGCACGTGTAACGATGTTCTTCTTCAAAAGGGTTTACCTCTTACCATCACGGTCATTCTTCCGCCGCCATCCATGTTCGTCGCTGTCCTTCTCCTCGGTGCAGGTGCCAGCTATGCCTTCAATCCCATACACTATACCCCGTCCACGACCACGAACATCTCCTATGTCATGAACGGCACAACCGACGCGCCTGGTATCTTTAACTCGTCACAGACGCCCGACGCGCTCTACGGCGTTTACAATTGGTGCAATATGCCGCATGTGCGCGCCAGGGAGTACATGTGAGTAGGCGAGATACTCATGTAGAACGATGTTTTCTCATTGGGATCTACAGAACGCCCTCAGACGAGTATACCCTCGAGTACGTCGAGGTCATACAAAGACATCATAAGCGGACGCCATACGGCTCGAACACGTTCTTCAAAGAGGACGTTTCATGGAGTTGTGAAGGTTCAGGGCCTGTTCATTATGCGAAGAGGTACGTCTCCTTCTTAGTAGTAAATTTGCTATCGCAACAATAAAGAATTTGCAGTACGACTGGCCCGCGGGTTGCTGAGATTCAGGTGCGATGCCCACCGTCTTGTGGAGCGCCCTCAGGGATAATGCTATCGATAGTGGCAAGCGTATGGCTCGGCCGAGAACCCTTGGACGTCGACTGTCGGTCCTGGATTCGTTGATTCGACGTGCAATTCCTTCAAGATACTTCATATCCATATGTTCTGACCTCCTCTACTAGTTGCCAATTTCCACAAATCACCACCGAGGGTCTTTGGGACGCGTATATCCACGGTGTTGTACGGTCTTAACCCGCGGAGTCTCCTTTGCAATTCTGAGCTTTGATATAGGATCTCCGCAAAGTCTACGCGCGTCGGCTCAATCTGAGCTCCAAGCTCGAAACATCTGCGGCGCTTGTACGCGTCACGAACAATGTTATCACTTCCCAAGTCGCCGGAGGACTCGTCCGTGGATTGTTTCCTGATACCCATAATGCCGAAGTTCACATTGAACGCGATGGTATTGACTCCTTGGAACCAAGTCTTGATCCATGCGATAATTTGGTGAAGCCTGGCATCACCGACAAGGGCGTAGGTGACGGTGGAGTTTGGACGGGCCATTTGGAAGCCGCTGCGTCGTTGTACGAGAAGCTTGATGCCGTGTCGGGTATTGACAGCGAGGATACGGCTGGGTGGCATACATGGTTTGATCAGTAAGTGACAGCCAAACTATGCACTCGAGTTTTGAATCCTCCTTCCATTTCTAGTGATTACGATAATCTGAGCGCTAAGCAGTGCCATGGTTTCTCTCTGCCATGTAGTGTCAACGATACGAGCTTATGTGTAACGCAGGACGAGGTATGTTTGTTCTCAATTTCGGTTCCTAAATCAATCTGAATTGACAGGCGAACAATGTTTATCGTCTGGGAAACTGGGAATACTCGTATATCTACCGATACTCTGCCAACTCTACGGTGTATAGCACCATGGTGTTTGGTGCGTGGCTGCTGGAGCTTAAGGAGCACCTCAATACCGCGAGGAGTGGCACGAATCCGGTGAGATCCTGGTCTTCTAGTCCAAATTACCTTCCGTGCTCAAAGTCGAATAGATCAAATACTTTCACAACGTTGGGCACGACGGATCGATATCAGCTCTCCTCGGTTTCCTGCAAGTGGACCATATGGTGTGGCCTGGAATGTGCGTTTCCTCCTCCCGCTGCAGGACATGGAGCTGATTCGTCCTTCAGGGGATCTGAAGTTGTATTCGAGCTATACAGCAAGGATTCCGCATACTACATTCGTGTGCTTTGGAGCGGCCAGCCGATTGTTACCTCGACGCCTCTTGGAACGCTCGATATGATCGCCATGGATGAGTGGATATCCTGTTTGTGCAATTTCCGAATTTCAATTCTTGTTGCTGACGGTGTTATTAGATATCGACGATATGGTTGGGACGGGTGCGGAATTATATCAGGCGTGTAATGCTTAAGGTGAATACTGAAGTAAAATGTCAACAAAATTCGACTTCATGATTATATACGTCACTTTGCCTTAACCTTCAATGCTCGCGTAGCTCAGTGGTAGAGCATTGTACTTATGCGGTTAACATACCTCTTGGCAGTATGCAAGGGTCTCCAGTTCAATCCTGGGCGTGAGCATGTTTTGGCAGTGCGATAGGCAATTTTTGCTCTCTTCAGCGACACTCGAATGGGAGCGCGCGAAAGAACGGTACATTTCCGCGGGAACACCTCGTGTCGTGAGCCGCGATCTCAGTCAGCTTCTTGGCTAAGTACAATAGAGACACTGCATGCATCGCGTGTTTCTCTGCAATGTCGAACTTACGGAATTACAGTACAACATCAACAGTTGTGCAAGCGCCTGCGAAACCAACGTTATCGATGGGTTTCAAGACCGTGAAAATGTTCGTATCAGATTCATAGATGAAGAGGAATACATTGACTGGGTATCATTAACAATGGCAGAGAGTATGTTTCGTCATAAAGATGCTCGCTGGCGCAGACTGCTGATCTTCATACCGCTTCTCCTCCTCGACTTTTGCTCAACGAAGTATCCCTTCCTGGTCTCCACTAATGTATAGCACCCCTCTGGGACGAGCGACGTAGGGTTTCGTACCAAAGGCGACGGCGGGTACATGTCAAGACCTTCGTTCTTCATTAATCTCAACTTCTTTGGCCGCCCTAGTCTGGCGACTGCCTTGGCCGCTCGCACAGCGGGCACGTCTGTGTCCACTGGGTATGGGTTGGACGTCGACACGATGAAGGGGGATAATAATGGCCGTGTAATGGGTTGGAGCTTTTTTACGAGTGGACGTGTGATGGGCTTAAGCTGCTTCTTAAGCGATTGCCTTAATGACACTGCGATCCGATGTCAGGAGCCGTCAATGTAAATGGAGGAAAGAAGACATACAATGGGGTTTGCCATAAACATCTTTGACGGCCGCGGAATCGCGGTCGATATAGGCTGCGCGACCTTCCACGGAAGGTGAAGTGCGAATGTTGGCGTTCATAGATTTGAAGCCGGTCAATTTCATGATTGGTTAGAGTGCGAGGAAGGTGATAGTGGTGTAAGTTGTATGTTATCAGATTCTGGGACGGGTCTTTATATTCGGTAGAGCACTGAGACTGTCGGAGAACACGTCTCGAGAAGAGAGGAGCCATTCCTGTGCCGACTCAGATGGTCGTGAAGAGGGGTCATGTCTGGCATTCGCAGAACCCTCTGCCCAGGCAGTTGGTGCAAGTCGGTGAGATCCATAGCCTGAGACGGGTCGCTCGAGCCTAGTGCAGACGTCCAAGCCACAGCATGTAGTCCTGAGGTTAGTAAAGTCTCAACTTGTCCGCATCTCGCAAAGTCCAAGAGCAGAAGAATTTAGACGCCGGAGAGAGTGCGATGACGAGTTGAGACAGAGACAGCGTGAGAAACTCAACGATCGAGCGGTCAATATTGACCAGCAAACAACCACGCTTTCTTTTTCTTGCTCTGCTCTTTGTCATGACTTTCCTGGAGATTCTCAACCTGGTTTCACTTTCCATATATATATACCGTCAGTTGGCGTCCGACGTTCAACCTGCACTGCTCTCGGACGCAGATCGTTGACGTTCTCACACTCGCACTGTCTCAGCTCGCTGTTCGTCATGTCTTCATTCGGGGAGACTACTCATTCCGGTGTTTAGTATGAAAACTGCACTGCCCTTGAACTATGGAACCCCAAGAACTTGGAGACTGATCTTTTGGCCTCCCCGGTCCTAAATTGCTGCATGATACGACTTAGACCTCTACACTTTTACTTGTCTGGGTATATTACCGATTTTCACCAGTTTAGGCGGAGAGGACGTGGCCAGTCTTTGCGATCGTTGACTTTCTCACGCTCTCCTTGTCTCAGCTCGTCATCATCAACTACTCTCTCCGGGGTCTACTTTCCATTGCTCTTGGACGTTGCGACATACAGAAATTTTGAACCTTTGGTCTTCCCACTAACATCAGTACAACGTGATGTGGCTTGGACCTCTAGACTCTTGAGCGAGGCTATGGATCTCACCCGACTTGCCTGGGCAGAGGGTTATGCATATTTCAGACATGACCCCCATCTGAGTCGACACAGGAATGGCTCCTCTCTTCTCGAGACGTGTTCCCCGACAGTCTCAGTGCTCTACCGACTATAAAAACCCTTCCGCAAACTTGATAATATGCATCCTACACCACTATCGCATCACTCGCACTCTAAATCACCATGAGATTAACCGGTTTCAAATCTATGTATCCCGGCGCTCCCGTGATACCTTCGCTCTACATAGAAGAAGCTCCCGAAATCCGCGCAGCCTATGTCGACTGGGACTCCCCGGCCGTCATGGAAGACATATATGGCAAACCAACGTGTATGTTTTCTTTCTTCAATTTCATTTGCCACCTCCTGATTATGGTTTACAGTGTCATTCAAGCAGTCGCTTAAGAAACAACTTGAGCCCATCACGCGTCCAGTAGTGAAAAAGCTCCAACCCATCACATGGCCATTTACATCCCCCTTCGCGTCCAATCCCTATCCACCTGACACGGACGTGCCCGTGGTGCGAGCGGCCAAGTGTGCTGCGAGACTAGGGCGGCCTAAGAAGCTCAAGTTGATGAAGAAGCAAGGATGTCTTGACACGTACCCGCCGTCACCTTTGATACGGAATCCAACATCAGTCGTCGCAGAGGGGTGTTACACGCTAAAGGAGACGAGGAAGGGATACTTTGTTGAGAAGAAGGAGAAGGTTAAGCGCATTGTACCGTCGCGCAGCTTTTGATCTTTCATGAGCAGTCGATTATCCATATGTCATGTTCTATACCTACTAATGCGACTTGATATCCTCTAAAGTGTCTGATCGAACTCTTTGTTGAATTCTCTCTTAGTAAAGCAAAAGAACAAGTACGTGGTCTCGATTCTGCTGTTTCGGTACCGTTGTTCTCAAGTCATTCTTAATATTCCGGGAATCAGTGTACGGGATCTGTGTCCTTTGACTTTTGAAGCTGTGGCCGTATCCGACTGAGATACCTTCATAGTAGTCGTGCTCTCCTGCATGGTGCTCAGCTGTAGCGTGTCAAATCCGGGTCCCGAACGCGTCCGCCTCTAGGCATTGCTGTAGTGAGATTGGCGCATCTAGGATCTCAAGTACCGGGCGGGGATGACAGCCTGCATTCACTCCAATCGTGCATGGCCTTAATGCTCTGGATAAAGTCTACATACTTGAGCGATAACAAACAATGCAAACGCCTCTCATGAGTGCAGGTTCATCATCTCTCGTCCCGTCGAACTGGGCCTCGGAATAGATGCACTGACGGACAAGCTACTTTTCCTGCCCGTTTCGTGACGCCTTGAACAATCGAATCGGGAGAGCACGAACAACCTCAACACCTCGCACCGGCGCTCTTCACCAGGACTCTCTGATATGTCACGGATCATCTGGTAGTAGACCGCTGGGCAGTTGTTCAGGATCTTAACGCTCTGGAACCATCATGCTCAGACGTACAATAACGACAGATGCATTGCGCGCTTCCCTGCATGTCAAGGACTCGGCGCCACAGCCTGTTTGATACTCGCAGCAAAATCTGGGCGACGGCAAGCCTAAAGACACTGAAGGCCTTGGAGCACCGACGCCACATACGCGCTTACTTGACGGTCGACGGAATCCTCAGATTATTGCAGATTCTTAGAATAGTCAGGACTGTTACGGACCAGTACAATATCCAGAGTTCGGACAGCGCGCGCAAAGACAACGTTATTGATCATTTATGAGCAGTGAGATGTTCGTATCAGGTTAAGAGACGAAGAAACATAGATTGATTCGGGTATCATAAACAATGGCAGATAGCAAGGAGGACTTGTGAGAGACGATACAAACGTGACGCACATTTCCTGGGTCATATATGTCCACGATCTGCTTTTCGTCTTGCTCTAAAATAAGAGAGTCTAGCGCAAGTATGCTATCAGACATGGGTGCTTGAGTTAAACTGGCGCCTGACTGGCAAACCAAAAGGAGGTATGGATGTGGGTGATTGGTCACCGGCCTGATTAGGAAGTGGCACGCCATCAGGCAATCACGAATTCAGGCCTTGTTCCCGACCTACTACCTCGATGCCGGCGACGCTGCACAAGTCTCCTTCTTTTCTACGCTCATAACGTCTGCGATATCAGCGCCGACGCCGGCCAGCATCGTCGCCAATGCCACCAAAGTCCGCGACCACAAAGGTACTCGCCGCACTGCGCCGCGACGACGAAGAGGATGTGCGCCCGTATGTTATCATAGCCGAGATTGGACAGGGCAGTTTTGCCACCGTCTTCAAGGGCTACCATGAGGTGCGCATCGCTGCCGCTTTCACCCATTACTGCTCACAATCTTCAATTACAGGAAACGCATGTCCAGGTCGCTATCAAGACCGTTAGGCGCGATAACCTCTCCGCGAAGCTATTCGAGAATCTGCAGAGTGAAATACAGATTCTAAAGGCACTCTCTCATCGCCATATAACCAAGTTGACCGACATCGTTGTGCGTATCTCATACCTTGATTTACGCATGCCTAACCACTACTACAGCGTTCTGAACACCACATCTACCTAATCATGGAGTACTGCTCAGGCGGAGACTTGACCAATTACATCAAGAAACGCGGTCGAGTTGAGACGCTCGAATACATACCATCAGCAGGCGCCTCACCTCAGTACTATCCACATCCACGCACAGGTGGTCTAGCGGAAATCGTCGTACGCAGCTTTCTGCGCCAGCTCGCGCGTGCGCTCAAGTTTCTGCGCCACCGTGGTTATATCCATCGAGATATCAAACCGCAGGTATGTATCCGTACCCAGACATGACGTGATTATTGACAATGTTGTAGAATCTCCTCCTCAAACCAGCACCCCCGGAAGAACTCGCCAAAGGCCACCCCCTGGGCGTCCCCATTCTCAAGGTCGCCGACTTTGGTTTCGCTCGTTCACTACCCAGCGCGATGATGGCCGAAACCCTCTGTGGATCGCCGTATGTCTGATCTACGTTCTTGAGGATCCGCACTAACCGCGGCCTAGGTTATATATGGCACCCGAGATTCTTGGATACCACAAGTACGATGCCAAGGCCGATCTTTGGTCTGTCGGTGCTGTTCTTTACGA